TCTTGAAGTGATTTCTTTTTTGGAATAAACCCCCTTTTTTTTTTTTTTTTTTTTTCACTTAATATGTGAATAAGCATAGAAAATCAAACCTGACTTTTAGAAAACCCACCAGTGAGGAGATGTCTCTCAGGCAGGACACCTCTGGCCCCAAATTCTACAGGCTTATGTCAATATGAGTTGGTTGTTTTCCCCAAAAAAATGCCCAGGTGAGATGAAATGTCTTCATCCTGCACAGAGGAGCTTGGTGGGAGTGGAATGTGTTGATGTGGAAGCTCTGGAGCAGAGCAGGGGGCAGGTCCTCCCTGTGCTGCCTTTCTGAGGTTCATCCTCTTCCTCTGGAGAGCAGGGACCAGCCAGTGCTTTGGGTGGCTGGGGTTTGGTTTTAATCACTCCACTTGGAGGGTTTGAATGTTCCTGGTTGCAGAAGGCTTGAAGTCTTTGACGTGCAGTGGAGGAAGGGGGTGTGGGGAGCAGCTCAGATCTGCTTTGCAGATAAATCCAGGCTCTGAGTTCCTGCCCCCCCTGGGGGGAATAAAGTCCCTTTCTCCCACTCTGCTGGTTTTGTGACTGCAGTGCAGAGGCCTGTGCAGCAGCTTCTCCCTCTGCTGCTGGCTCCAGCACTGAGAGCTGCACCGTGTCTTGCAGCAGATGCTGCAAACTCTGGCATGACCTTACCCACCAGGAGCACCTTCCTGGCTGGCAGGTTCCAGAGGGAAAAAACAGGCAGGGATGAAGGCCCAGGGATGCCAGGACAGACATCTTGAGAGGACACAGGGGCAGAGCTGGTCTGTGTCAGGGGATGATTCTGGTGTCAAGGCTTCCAGCAGAAACAGGGACCCAGGATGTAGGGCTCTGGGGAGGCTGCTGTGGGCTCTGCACTTCCAGCATGGCCACTCCAGCCCTTGGCACTGGTCTCTTTGTCCCTTCCCTTGGCAAGATCTTTCTCCAAGTGCTCCTTGGATTTGAGTCTACTCTGCCCAGTGCTCACCACAATACAATGGTGGTTCCTCAGCCTTGCTCTGCTCCATCTCCTCTCTCCATGGCCCTTTCCACACCCACCTGTCCCACACTCCAGTTTCAGCAGCTCCTCTGGGTTCCATCTCCAGACCCTGTTGCCCTTGAGGAAGCAGCCCAAGTGACCCGATGATCCAGCTGAGCATCCCCAGGTGCCTTCAGAACAAGTCCAGCTCTGAGCAGTAACCACAGCTCTTGCAACTCAGATCCTTTTGGCTGAACAGAAGGTCCTGCTGGGAGAGGGGAAACCCAAGATCTCACCTCTCCAGGCTGCTTGTAGTGGGAGCTGCCACAGGACCTTCTTGGGACTCTCCTCTTTCATGGCCTGCTCGGCTCTGGCCACCCCCTCCAGAGGCCACGAGGTGATGGAGGAGGAGGATGGAGGGGAGGAAGGAACTGCCTGAAGAATTCCAGAGTGAAACACGATCTCTGGGCTTCCTGCTGCTGAGTTGGCTCCTGCTGGGGGCTGAGGCTGCATTGTTGTGTCTCCCCCCAGCCCAGGCAGTGCCAGGCAGCCTGGCCACCCTCCTCCCCCCCCAGCCCTCAGGTCACCCCCAGCCTCCTGCTGTGGGTTTTGCCTCCTGTGGCCTCTTGACTAAAGATCCTGTCAGGGTGTTCCAGCCCAGGAGCTGAGGAGGGAGAAGCCTCTCTGATGTGTAGGGCTCTGTGTCACTGGGCTCTTGCCAGGTGGTTGGGGGTTTTTTTCCCACTCCCCTTCCCCACTGAGTGGGGCAATAAAACTGCATCCCTGGGGGGCTGAGTATCCTTCAGGCATTGAGTAAAGGATCTGTGGGGGAAGCACGGTGTGTCTGTGAGAATGTCCCTGCCACCACCCCAGCTGCTGGTCTGTACAGGGCAGGGAACTTCTCCCTTCTTTCACCCCTCAGAGCAGGTTGGTTTCTCACCTCTGGAGCTCTGCAGGAGCAGAACAAGCTCTTCCCTCACTCTGCTCTGCTCTGCAGCCCATTTGGGTGCCAAACCCTCTTCTGAGACCACCATTAAGGGAAAGGCAGGGGAGATTCCTAATGCTACACACAAGGAGAAGAGGGGAAAAAGCTTGTTCTGAGCTCTGGGACCCCCTGACTTGTCCAGTGACTGCCACACACCCCGAGGTGACAGCAGCCACTTTGGCCTGGCCCTGGTTCCTGAGCAGCCCCAGGATGTGAAGGGAAGATGTCCCACTGCCCTGTCTGTGGGATAGGGGTGGTCTGTGGTGTCCTGGCTCATCTGTTCTCCCTCCCCTCCTCTCTGCTGGGCTGAGCTGGGTCTTTGGAGCTTTGTGGGGGGTGGTTTTAAGCCCCCTCCCTTGAAGGGTGCTCTAAGGGCAGCTGCTCAGCTCAGCAGCATCTCGTGTGTGGTAGAGCTCACCCAGCTGTACCCCAAGAGCTGAGGCATCTCCTTCAGCCTGTGCAGATGCACAGGTATTTTGTTGTGCCATCCAAACCAGCCCAAAGAGGCAGAGAGTTTCACCAGCTGCAACTTGTTCTAGAAGATTCAAGCTAACTTGAGTGGCGAAACAAAAGAGTTTCTGGGCAGGTAGTGTTTGACCTGCTCACCAGTTGTTTTGCTTGGCAGAAAATACTGGAATAAGAAGCCATGAAAGCTCCTTGTGCAGCTGTTGAGCAGGGAGGGGTGTGGGGAGGCTGAGCTGCAGGTTGGTTTCAGGCAGTGTTGGTCCTGTTGCCAGCAGCTCTCAGTGATGGTGAAGCTGCTTATCAGCCAAAACAGATGGGGAGACCTGGAACCTCCTGACTCTTTGGTCCATCTAAATCAGGGTGACTGGCTCAGCAGGGATTTCTTTGGAGCAGGGGCTGGCACTGAGGGCAGGGAGCTGGAAGGCTCTGTCTTCTTGAAGCTGAGGAAAAATCCCTTCCCATAGGAGCAGGTGCTCTGTTCCTCTACCCCTTCCTCGTGTGGCTCAGGATCTTCTCTGCAGGGCTGGGACCTCCTGGCCTAACTGGTACCAGCTGAGAAGTGGCCACAGAGTATTTCCAAGGAGCTGAGGGTGTTTTTAGGAGAATCATGGCCCCCCTAGCAGGGATGGGGTGCACAGCCACCCCTGGAAGCAGCAGGGAGGTTCTCTGCCCAGCTGTGGTGCTCCAGCTGGTCCCAGCAGGGGAGTGGGGCCTCCCTGTGGTTTTTGGCTCTGGGAGGTGTTTTGTTCCAGCCTGGGGGAACCTGGCAGGGCTGTTCCTCCTCAGGCTGTTCCCTCCTGTGCCAGTGGGAAGCAGGGAGCTGTGCCCAGGGCCACCCTGTCCCTGGCATTCATGGGGGTAGCCTTGAGCCATGTCTGGGCTTGGTGGCACTTCTGCCACTTCCCAGTAAGTCCTGGATACACAGGCAGGAATTTTTCACTGACTAAACATCTCCAGAAGGTAAAGGGGGAAAGAAATATCCTGGGTTGGTGAGTTGGAGAAATATCCCAGAGTGCACATCCATGACCCAGCAAAGGCATGAATGTGAGGAGCTTGGTATCAGGGGCTGTGACTAGAATGATGTGTATTAACTGTTTATTAATTGGTAGTTAATATCAGTGGTGCTGTGTCCCTGCTCTGCAGCACACAGCAGGGTCCAGCTGAGCTGAGGGGCAGGTCAGGGAGGGGAGGAAAGGGGAGAGAACAGTTAAGGGGGGACGTGGCAGAGGAAGGACAAGGTGTGGAGCAGCTGATGCTGCTTCATTGCAGGAGGTTGGTGCTTGGCACATGGGAGCAGCAAGGTCAAGATGTGGTGTGCTGAGAGCAGGGGCAAAGGAGGGGGTGGAATTGGTGAAACAAGGTGCTGGGGAGACAAAAAAGCCAAAGCTTTGTGTCAAAAAGGCTTCATGTAAATGCAGCAGCTCCTGCTGGAGATCCCTCCTTGCCTGTTCAGCTGGCAGGACCCACCCTGGCCCATCTCGTTGTGTGTTCCCTACTTTGTACGTGCCTGTTTTCTTCCCAGGCAGAATTCCTGGGCTCTGCTTGGCCTCTGCTGCCTGGCAAAGGCAAACCCTGACCTTGACACAAACCTCTGGTTCTCTCTCCTCCTTCAGCAGCGTCGCCCGCAAGCTGAAAAACTGGCCAGCACAATGGGAAAAAAACAGAACAAGAAGAAAGTAGAAGAAGTCTTAGAGGAAGAGGAGGAGGAGTATGTGGTGGAGAAGGTGCTGGATCGACGAGTGGTGAAGGGCAAAGTGGAATATCTGCTGAAGTGGAAAGGCTTCTCTGAGTAAGTGCCTCCTCTGCCCTTGGTTCCCAAAGCACCCAGGCTTAGGCTCCCTGTGCCTCCATTTGTCTGTAAGATGGAGCCACCAGGCCAAGGGCAGCCATCCTGGTCAGAGTAGCCACCCAGGTGCCTCCAGCTCTGAGCAGGGTGACCAGAGCACAGCCTGGGTGAGGAGATCCCACTTCTGCCTCACAAACAGAGCCCTGGTGGGGATTCCCTCCTTCCTTCCCCCTTAAGCCTGGTGTGAAATGAGCAGCTGGATAAAATAAATGGCATTTCTCTGCTGGGAAGGGAAAATAACTGCCCTGCCCTGTCGGGAGGATGGCCCAGACTGTGCTGTGGTGGCCAGTGACAGGACAAGGGGCAATGGGGACGAACTGGAGCACAGGAGGTTGAACCTGAAAATGAGAAAATACTCTGAGGGTACAAAGCCCTGGGACAGGCTGCCCAGGGAGGTGGTGGAGGCTCCATCCCTGCAGACATTCCAAACCCACCTGGATGTGTCCCTCTGGGATCTGCTGTAGGGGATCTAGATGATGTCCAGAGGTCCCTTCCAACCCCAAACCTTCTGTGATCCCTGCCTGGATCAGGGCAGGGTCCTGTTTGCTGGCTCTGCTGCTTCCATCGGCACCTCCGCGTGGACCCAGCGTCCAGGACTTTTCCAGGCAGGAAAAGCTGCTTTGAGCTGCCTGTGTATAAAACTCCAGTGTTGTCTCTTTGCAGTGAAGATAACACCTGGGAGCCAGAGGAGAACCTCGACTGCCCAGACCTCATTGCAGAGTTCCTGCAGTCCCAGAAAACCGCCCATGAGAGTGAGAAGTCCGAGGGCAGCAAACGCAAAGCGGAGTCTGACACGGAGGATAAAGGGGAGGAGAGCAAACCAAAGAAGAAGAAGGAGGAGGTGAGGCAGGGTGGGGTTTCTGGGCTCACCTCCCTGCTCTTGGCACAGTGTCTAGGAGCTAGAGCAGCCAAGCTTCACAACTTCGTGTTCTCCTTCATGAAGGGGAAAGTATTGCACATGGTTGAAGGGATTTTGAAAAGCTGTAGCTTTTGGAAGGAGACAGGAGCTGTTGTCTGAGCCAGGTTTCATCAGTCCAGAGCCAGCTCTGGCACTAAATTGAAAGGCCAGTTCTTCAACCAAAAGGGTATAGAACCCCAGCTCCTGAAGATCCACACAAGGGGTGAAACAGGAGGCAAGGGTTGGGTTCCCTCACTTGAAGAGGGGGAATGAGGTGGAGCAGAGAGTCTTGTGCTCAGGGTGCTTGTAGCTGCTTGGGAGAAGGGCCAGTAGAAGGCTCTGCAGCCTGGTTTCCACCCCAGGAGCTGCTGAATCTTGGCCAGCACCAGAGTTTGACCAGCAGGGCCTTGGGGATCAACTCCTCTGCGTTCATGCTGCTCTGCTGTGCTACCCTGGGTCCTCAGCATGGTGGCTCCGCACCTGAGTGCCCATCACAGCCCCCGCTGGCCTCGGCGGTTCCAGCCCGAGCATCTGATCCACGGGGCAGCCCCTGCCATGTCCTGGGGAGCAGGCACGGGGCTGTGACATGTCACCCTGCTGTGCCACAAGTGGGAACTTGGCTTTTTTTCCTTTTCCCTCCCCAGTCGGAGAAGCCGCGCGGCTTCGCCCGGGGCTTCGAGCCAGAGCGGATCATCGGAGCCACGGACTCCAGCGGGGAGCTGATGTTCCTGATGAAGTGGTGAGTGTGTCTTTGTGTCTGTCACTTCTTCACTTATTCTGTGCCAGAGAGGGAAGGACCTGCTCCCGGGGAGTCCCTGCTACCTGGCATGAAATCTCTTGGCGATGGCGCTGCTGCCTGAGGGGACCCTCTGCGCCGAGGCTAACGTGGATGTGAAACCAGCAGGTAGGGCCCTTGGGATGGTGTGGCTCTTAAGATGTCCCCCCTGCAAGCAGGCACCAGGGCCACCAAGATGGTGAGGGGACTGGAGCATCTGCCCTGTGAAGAAAGGCTGGGAGAGCTGGGGCTGTTCAGCCTCGAGAAAAGGAGCTGAGGGGGGATCTGATCAATGCTGGTCAATATCTCCAGGGGGTGTCAGGAGGATGGGCCAGACTCTGCTCAGGGGTGTCCAGGGACAGGACAAGGGGCAATGGGCACAAACTGGAGCACAGGAGGTTTTAACCTGGATGTGAGAAAATACTCTGAGGGTACAGAGCTCTGGGACAGGCTGCCCAGGGAGGCTGTGGAGGCTCCAACCCTGGAGACATTCCAAACCCTTTTGGATGTGTCCCTGTGGGATCTGCTTTAGGAGGTCCTGCTCTAGCTGGGGGGTTGAACCAGATGATCTCCAGAGGTCCCTTCCAACCCCCTTGTGAGCCTGGGGAGAGAGAGGGGCAGTGGCATGACCTGCAGCTTCCAGAGGAGAGCCCTGTCCCCTTCAGCTGCAGTGACCCAGGGCTTGTTGCTGGCACAGCTGGGAGCCAGACCAGCCCAGTGGAGCTGTGGGAGCTGCTGGCTTCTGCCACCATCCCAGGAGCACACAGAGGGGCTGGGGCCAGGGCTGCACCCTCAGCTTCTCTCCCCCTCCCCAACGAGCCCAGAGCTGAACTCACACCTGGATTTTTCCTGGGCTCACAGGGCTGCTTCTCCCTGCTCCAGAGCCATTGGGAAGGGGTCTCTTGGATCCCTCAAGCAGCTCAGGGACTCCATTGACCTGCTGCTTCTCAATACTTTTTTTGTTCTCTGGTCTCCACTTCTTTCCCCTCCCCTCTTGCACCTCCCTGACTTGCTCCTCTGCTCTGGCCTGTAGGAAGAACTCGGACGAGGCCGACCTGGTCCCTGCCAAGGAAGCCAACATCAAGTGCCCCCAGGTGGTCATCTCGTTCTATGAGGAGAGGTTGACATGGCATTCCTACCCCTCAGAGGATGATGACAAGAAAGAGGACAAGAACTAAACCCCCCCTTGGCACCCACTCTGGCCAGCCTTTGTATAAAAAGATCTGAACTGTGGGTTTGAGCAAGAGAACAGCAGCTCTGCTGGGCTGGGAGCGTAGAGATGGCTGGAGAAGATGCCCTTTGAAGAGACCAGTATGGTTTCTGTGCCCTGCAGCTGCTCAACTGCTTTTCTGCAGCTTCATGCTGTGTCCAGATTCAAACCAGCCCAGCTCAATTTGTTTGGGGAAGGGGGGGGGGAGGGAAAGCAAGAGGAAACCAAGGAGGCTGGGAGAGGAATTAGGGTGTTTCAAAGCTCCATTTTGCAGCTTGGGGGCAGGAGGGAGGGGTGGG